CCCACAACATACCTTCAGCACAGAATAATCATTTCTCGTATTCTTTTGACATATTAATTTTAATATTCGAGATAATTATTATATTATTCAAACACAATTTAGACACTGTAGAGCAAACAAGGTTTATCAAACCCGTCTATTAGTTTATTCGCCTAAATGTATTATTAATACCGTTTTCAAATTACACCAAAATTGAAAAATCCAAAACTTAATAATTGAAAAATTGAAACATTTTAAATGAAAAAAATCGGTAAACCGAAAAATTGAAAAATCTATAAATCGAGAAATTGAACAATCTAAAAATTAAACAATTTAAAAATCGAAGAATTGGAAAACCAAAAAATCTAAACCGAGAACTTGAAAAATCGAATAATCGAGAAATCAAAACATCAAGGAAAACAATAAAGTTAACGGAAAATCTAGAACTTAAAAATTGAAAAATTAAAATACCTATCGAAACATTGAAAAACCGAGAAATCGAAACATCAAAAAATGGAAAAATTGAAGAGCCGAAACATTGCAAAATCTCAGTACTGAAATACTGAAAAACTGAAAAATGGAAGGAAAATTGAAAAATCGAAAAAGTGAAAAAATTTAAAACTGAAATCTTGAAAAACTGAAAAATGGAAAGAAAACTGAAGAATCGGAAAAGTGAAAAAATCCAAAACTGAAACATTGAAAAATCCAAGAAATAGAGAAATGGGAAAATCAAAAAATCAGTTAATCGAAAAACTGAAAAATCGAAAAAGTTAGAAACGTCAAAAATTGAAAACTGAAAAATAAAAAAAATTAAAAATCGTAAAACTGAAATATCGTAAAGTTAATAAATTGAAAAACTGAAAATTTTGTGAAAAAAAAATCGTATAAAAATTCAAAAAATCGAGAAATTGAACGTTCAAAAAATCAAAACATTGAAATCCCAGTATGTTGATAAATAGGAAAATTTAAAAAACAAAAATTTTTAAAATCCAAGAATTGAACAATAAAAAAAATCTAAGCCTGAAATCTCAGAAAATCGAATGATCGAGAACAAAAAATCTAAAATTTAAAAATTCGACAAATTGAAAAATCATGGAACTGAAAAATCGAAAAGTCGAGATAGTGAGAAATCTAAAAACCTAAAACTTTAAAAACTGAAAAATTAAAATATCGAAAAATTTAAAAACCGAGAAAACACAATATCAAAAATTTGAAAAATTGAAGAAACGAAATATTGTAAAATTCCAAAGCTGAAATATTGAAAAACCTAAAAATGGAAGGAAAATTAAAGAATCGAAAAAGTGAAAAAATCCCAAACTGAAACATTGAAAAATTGAGAAATGGAAAAATGGGAAAATCAAAAAAATTGGTCTAAAGAGTTTAGACAGTACTTCCCTCGCTATCGGAAACGTGACGACTGCATGCCTATTATGTTTTTTTTTCACATTAGATTTCAAAGATTCGGTTTTGTAGTTCCTGATTAAATCAATAAAATAAATTTGCGCATTCATTAAATTTTTTGAGTCACCCTGTATATCCGAATCCAAAAAATATGAATGGAATGATAAATTACAAGAAGAGACTCATTATATTTTGTAAACTTTAAATAGGATTATACGGCAAACTTTTGAACTGACGTCATCAATTGTTTGGAGGGGATAAGCAAATATATTTTGACTAAAAATTTATTATGCTCTTTATAACCTTAAAACATTTGCAAGATTTGAAAGCATTGGGTTCTGTAGTTCCTAATTAAATCAATAAAATAAATTTACGCATTCATTAATTTTTGGGGTCATTCTGTATATACAAATCCAAAAAACATGAATGGAATGATAAATCACAAGAAGAGACTCATCATATTTTATACAATTTAGATAGGATTTATTCAGCAAAATTTTGAGGTGACGTCATCAATTTTTTAGAGAGGATAAGTAAATATATTGTGATTAAAACGGTCTTGGTTTAATAACAAAAAAATATTGTTCGTCTATAAAACAAGCTCGTCTTAGACAAAGTATTCGTAAAAAAATATGTCGTAAAAAAATTTACGTATGCCGGTTCCGACTGCGATTACGGTTTAAATATTTTTTAGAAAATCCTGTCATGGATGTAGAAACATTTGTGACAGCCAAAGAGGTTTTTTTGAGAAAATTATCTTTGAATTTAGACCAAATTGAAATAGACACTAGGCAACAGGCACATTTGGGCAAAAGAAAGAGAAATTAGGGTTACGGCTTCAAATTTTGGACGTATTTACAAACTTAGACCGACTACAGCAATAGCTAAAACTGTGGAGTCTCTGTTGTACAGTACATTTAGAGGTAACAGTCATACATACTATGGATAGCAAAGTGAGGAAAAAGCTATCAAGTGTTTTGAAATAAATAAAAGTATAAAAACTGAACGGTGTGGCTTGTTTATTTCAAAACAATTTCCTTACTTGGCTGCTAGTCCAGACAGGGTTCTAGAGGATAGGAGTGCATTAGTCGAAATTAAATGCCCTTCAAAATCGCAAGATTTGTCTCCCGAAGAAGCTGTTGGAAAAAAAAAAATCAAATTTTGTACATTGACAGACAGAGAATTGAAACTAAAAAAAAAATCATGATTACTACTTTCAAGTCCAGGGACAAATGCTTGTTACGAGTATTTCACAAGTTTATTTTGTTGTATGGACACCCAAAGGAATAAATATAGAAAAAAATTATAAAGACGGAGAAATATATGTAAAAAGATGGCAGATAAACTTGCCAGATTTTGCTTTGGCGCTTTATTGCCCGAAATAATTGATTCAAGAAGAAAGAGGAACCTGCCTTTGCGAGAGATTTTTTTTAAATAAATAAAATTTGTTTCTATTTTTTTATGTACTTTAATAATTTATTAGGAGTACATTTTTCATCACCAAGACTTGCATATTTTTATTATAAATATATTTTGAAAATGATCTCTCGGCAAATGAAAACATATACGAGCACTTTTTTCTAGTAAACAATGAAGGGAGAAGTTACTGGGCGTAGGGCTTTTTTAAAACACCTCTTTTCTGGGATAAGTAGTAGATACACTTAGCTACTTATACGTGTTAAACAAAAGCTGTATATTATATATTTTTTATTATTATTATAAATATGTTTATTAGTTTTATTAATTAAGAAAGCAAAATATATATTAACAATAATATTACAATGAATTTTTAGTAATCATGTGTATTGAATTCAGGATCCTGAGTGGAGTAAAAATATTATAGTTCCCCAGTTTTAATTCGATTTTATGATAGTACCTCATTGCGTAAAAGTTAATTTCCTTAACAATAGATTACTACGGCCGGTCCTGGCGGCTTGTTATAAAACTGAGTTCCTTGCTATAAATTAGAAAAATCAGCTGAGAACTCTAACAATCAGCTTATGGTAAAGCAGGCGATAAGGGTTTTACCTGGAAAGTCGCTTCCGTAAATTTTAGTGGCGCTCCTATCGGCAAAATACTGAACTAACTGCTCAAATTCTGTCGAATTGATACCCATTTTTTTCAATAATTGTTAGTTTTTGTTAAAAACTCTACTAACCAATAGATCATTAATTTTCCTCTGATATTCCTGTTAAAATTATTCGACGTATTTTGCATTAATTTGTGGTATATTTTGATTTTAATAAACACATTATTATTTAAACTAATTGTACCACTAACAAACATTTAATGACTCTGCGCCCTGTAAAAAGTGATGTTTTATCCATGTGCGAAGTTTCAAGCGATTCTATGATGGTTATGACTCAAAAAACTTGAAAAGAAAACATACAATGGTGCTTTTTTTACGATAGTTCTCAGCCATATTTTTTTAGTTGATTGAACTGGTCTCTGCGCTCTAGAATATGAAAAAAGCTGCAGTTCGATGTATGATACATCTATATTAATATCATTTTTTCATACAAAAAACCAAAAAAATGTTATACCTCGTCTAGCGAGTCCCCTTAAAAAAACAATTTACTTTGAGAGTTTATAATACCGTGAACTGGTTACCCTAAAAAAACACATAATAAACAAACATAAAAATATCCAGTCATCGTTGCGAGGAAAAAAGCGTCTCGGTGATGTAAATTTTTAACGTTGCGAGGAAATGCCTCGGTGATGTAATCAATCTTTAACTTTGCGAGGAGATACCTCGGTGATGTAAACAATCTTTACCGTTGCGAGGAAATACCTCGGTGATGTAACGATGATAACGCTGCTAATAACGTTAAATTGTGTTAGAAACAGTTAATGATTAATACTCTAACGTGATCGGTGAATTTACAAACAATAAAACAAAGTTACACCACATGTCCGCGTTGATCGAAAGTCCGCAGTTTTTCCGATTAAAAATCCGCAATAATTAGCTGCGCATATTGGGGAAAACTGTGACGTGTTTGTTACGATGCATTGTCGTTAAACAAAGGCTTCCTCCCTTTTTATTAACTACCAAACCAAGTAATTTAACTAATAATCACGCTTTCTGCCATCTTGTCTACCAACCAACCCTCTAACTAAAATCCCCTAGCGAGCTACCAACTACCAGGAAAAGCACTAAACGTGCACAAGGCCTATGCTTAACGATTTTTCGATTGGATTTTTTTATCTCAAATTCAAATTATTCAAATGTGATTTCACACCGCTATTAATTAAATTCAGCGCGAAAATTTGATTCAAATTCGGTCACCACACTGTAGAGATAGGCCTATAATTTTGTAATGTTTGAGAGAATTACATTTTCGAATACAGGGTGATAAGTTTGATCCTTTTACTCGCACTAGAAACTGGCAGTATTGAGTGTTAACTTACATATGGAAGTTATGGTATATCTTTACATACTCGAATAGAAGAAAAATTAGAAATAATTTGGTGCATAACGAACAATAACTAATTACTCAATTATACTCGCACAAGAAATGTAATGATTTTACAAATTTGTCTTCTCCATTACCCTTGTTAACGCGTAATGCAGTTTATTAGATGCAAATTTATGACATCATCGTTAGCAGTATTAGTTTAAGATGCTAATTGTTACAGACGAGCGGGTTGGCAAAGTCAAAGTTATAAAACCGCTATATCTCTTGGACAACTATAACAAGTTTTCTAACCGATTATGTACTAGAAATGGAAAAAGTAGCTATGCTCATATTTCAACATATTCATCGCTTGTAATCTATCCATCTTTACCACTTTTCTAAATTACAGTTTTAAAAATGTAACTAAATACTACATTTGATAAATTTGCCTAATTTTGATTACAATAATGTAAAATTTATGGTTTAAATAAATTTGTATCATAACCCATTTTTATTATAAATTGAAACACGTTAAACCTGTTTTTAGCTTAGAAATAGTTGTGTAACGTAATTCCTCATTATAAAATATTAGAACTAAGAGATTAACTTAAAAAAATGAGACCTAGTTTTTCTTGATACAAGAATTTGCGACAGTTGAATTTTGTTTAAAAATTTGGAGAATGTGAGATCTACACCAGAGAAAGTTTATTCAAGTATTTACACGTGTTAAGTAGTTGTTTAGTACTTAATGCAGCTAAGATTGAATATTTGGTTGTTAAAATAACAAACTAACTTTAACGTTAAAAAAGTTTAAAGTACACATTATGGGTTTCCTTGTTTGAAAATATAACAAAAGTATATTCTAAAAAATCATGCTTGACTTGTTGAACAAATGTACCATAATTTGCGGTTTGCTTATGTAATAAGAACGGCATCTTGTAATAATAAGGTTTCTGATTTACCGGTCCGTCTGTGGGTAATTTAAAAAGCTTGTTTTTAAGTTTGCGTAAATTAATAGTTTTATTTTACAAATAAATTTCGAGTTAATAAGTTTTTAAAAAAATTTAGGTCAATGTAAACGCCAATCACATTTTTTGTCAAAATCAATAATAAAATACTTCATAATTATAAGGATGAAGCTGCCGGTGTCGTGGAAGGGCTTCTAGACTTCGGTAGAACTCGAATTCGCAAAGGTCTCCGCCTAACAGGTCTCCAAGAGAGCCCTCCAGAAGATGCAATTAAACCTATCTCTCAGAAAAAGCAAATAACTAAAATGATTCGCGTCAAATCACAAGATAAGGTTGATGATTTTGAAACCACATGGATCAACCCATTACAGGAAGAACCAGTAATAAGAAAACCCTTGTTACGTATTTACCAACATTATCACTTGTCTTTAATTGCAGCCGAAAACAGAACCAGTGAAACCCGAAACTGTCCCCAAAATACCTTCTATAACGACTCATGAAGAAGGTAGTCCGGAACCCGAGTACGAAGAGACGGCTGACCTAGCTACAAGTATAGCCAAACTTCGGTCCTTGCTTGAACAGAAGTCGTCGGAATCTAATATGTCGACGCCGGCTTTGAGTCCTATGTAACCTAGTTTAAAAGTATGCTTTAAATTCGACTGCGTATTTTAAATATTTTAGGCCACCGGATGATCTCTCTAATAAAATTTTATTGGAATCGGAAGATGCCGATGAAACTGATGGTGTGATGCCCAGTTTTTATAAATTTTGTGCTAAAACGGCAACGGGAGTTATTCATAATACTCTAAACACGATCAAAACTGCGCTTCCGGGTAATGTTGCGGATTGTGATAGGTACGATGGAGCAGAAAGATGGTTATTTGCAGAAGCCAATGCCACGGTAATGCCGTCTTTCGTTTTAAAAAAATAAATAAAATAGATATCATGCGTATAAGTATTATTTTTGCAAGCTTTGTTTTTCTGTATTTTTTTTTTTTAATTTGTTAGGAGGGTGATCTCTTTGTGCGAATGTCGAAACTTCTCTGTGAGAGGAAAGTATTTTGCACAGTTGACACAGCTTATGAAGCCATCGATTCGCTAGGATCGTTGCAAGATGGTGACAAACTACGACAGTCCAATATTCAATTTGAAGGTACTTTTCGAATTTGTCAAAAAAATGACTTTATTGTACACTTATTTCAGATGAATTAGACGACTTTGAAGTCAAATTGCCTGTCACTAAAGCTCTATTGGATATTTTATGTGAGCTGTTAGCAGACACCAAAGATACGTCGTTAACCCAAGAACCTGTAATAAAATCGGTTTTATTGCTTTTTGGCAATTATATAGAGGAAAGCGTAATTACTCAAGCTAATTACTATTTACGTTATTGCTGTGCTAATGCAAAAATTTCTGCTGAAAGCAAAGTTGATACTCTCTCTTTAGAATTGGAAGAGTTCATCGATGTTGTCCTTAGTGGAGTTCCAGGTTATTTAGTACGTTCGTTCCAAGGATTGGTATTTATTTTTTATTGCAGATTATTTCAAGTATTTAGTTGGTGAGAAAACGTTAAGAGATGTTGCGAATTTGTTTGTTGCTTCGTTACAAGTACAGAAGATTAATCAAGATTTGGTGATGCAAATATTTGAGATTGTTTGTATGAAGTTGATGGATGGGAGTAAGCAGTTATCGCCTATTTCCGCTTAATGATAAGTTTAACTAATGTTATGGCTTTAAATTATTTATGCAGTTGATGTAACATGAAATAGATTTTATTGCGTATGAAAACCTTGGATGTTTTATTAGAAATGGAAAGTTAATACCTACCTACCTGCAAATACCCATTAATGTTTAGAATTTTTGACGCTCTCTAAGGAAACAGAAACAAATTTGTTTTCTAATCAACGTTTTAATAAAATTATTTATGTACATTGTTAAATCACTGGAGCATTATCAGCTTTTATCGAACTTATCCGATTGTTTACACAAATCGACGAACACACCTTTGCCTCTGCTCGCTATATCAGAGTAGGTTTTCTTGCCTTTGGGACACAATCTGTTTGAAAATGGTGCGTCCCTTTTTCTAAAATCAACACCGTGTAACAACTGCTAAATAAATAACACTTAGAAACTTACCCTCTTCCAGGCATTGCCATTTCGTCTACAGATATACTTTCAACATAAAGGTGGTCATTGCACCAAAAGATACATATCGTTTTTGGTTCAAGAACATTGAGTTCATATTCCCAGCTGAGTTCAACTTTTTTTATGTTTCCACCTAAATCAGCGGGATGTGACACCACACTAGTGAATGTCGTTCCGTGCTCTAATTTGGTTTCTCCAGATGGTGTCAGATCGACGTGGATCACACCAGCGGAACTATATATGGAGGCTTTGATGAAACCTTGAACCCAGGACTCTGCCATTCTGGGTTTGGCTAACTCTATTCTCACTCGGTACAGTCTTCCTGTGGAATAAATAAGTAAATTTAAGAGCAACGAGAGCAAAAAAAACTTACGACAAAAAGGAAACTCCCGACCCGTAGTCAGAAAATATTTGTTTCCTATTAAATCCGTGAATTTCGATTCTGCAATTTCATTGTTTTCTATACCAGGACTAGCATCGGCATGATAGCCCATAATCGCACAGTTTGTAGAGCCTGGTTTACAAGTGAAACATTTACCAGACATGAACTGCTCGAAAGTAGAACATTGGTGCCCTGGAATAACGAATGGCGTTTTGTTTTTTATATATCTTTAAGGAATGTTTACCTATGTAGGGGCACTGGGTGTTTATGCTGTCTATAAATAATTTTATGGCTCTCACATGGTTACATGCGACCAGAACTCTGGACGCTTCCTCCAATCCGTCCCTGGAATTTGGATGTGTTTATGTTAAGTTATGAATGTTGTGTATATTAACAAACCTTATTAGGGTAAGCGGCACCAGAGGCGTTTGGGTTATATCACATCCGGGTTGTTCCTTCCCATTGTTGGGATAAAAGTCTAAGTGACCGCAGGGTTGCGACATTCCGTACCCTGTAACAAACACAGAAATGTAAATCTTTATCACGATATCAAACTTCATGTGTTTGTGATATGTATGTCTACCCGTCATAGAATATGACGAAATGTTGGTGATTGAACCTTCTTCAAGTGGTCGGGAGTGTTAAGATAAAGAGTGTAGGAAAGTTCTCTCCTTCGCCAACAAAGAATTTTCAAAGTATAGAGACAAATTTTGAAAGTGAATTCCAGTCGAGGAAAAAATCAACACTTGAATCGAAAAATAGATTGGAGTGTTTATTTGCGCATTTCCAGGTGCAAAGAAAAGCAAAAATGAAGGAGCTCATAGACACTTAAGTGGTTGTTATTGACGTGTAGTACCCACATGGAAAGACAATAACATATCATATGGAATCAGTGAAGGTCAGGCTGCCGGAGAAGCTAGCAAGCTTTCATATCTGGCTAGAGTCCTTGTCTGACGAACGGGAGATCCAAAGTTTGTAAAGGTGACCGGAAAGATATCCGGGATCACCAGAGATACCTAGTAATGTCCCCATGAAGAGGGTTGAAACCAAGGGTTCGTGCAAAAATGTACCTCTGCAATCTGTTCTTGGTAGAGAAAAAGCCATCTCTCATTACAGTGAGAAGGACAATAAAGGATCAAGGCAACTCCCAGTGAAAGAGTCCAATTTCAGTCATAGTTAATCCGATAACCAAGCTTTCGATTTTTGAGAAACAAGGAATAATTAATTAAATTCTCTTAGTTACGATGTATTGTAGCGTGAATTCTCGTCACCACTCGAAAATACCTACCTAGCGATTTTCAGTAAGTATGTCTATAATTTCACAAATTTTTAGTAAGCCTTAATGTTGCTTAGGATATTCGTTGTTGACAAATTACAATTCTGAAAACTTTTCAACAAGTTATCTGTATATAAAAAAAAATAAATCAATTCGGCGGGAATTCTAAGCAAGAAATTGAACAAGCAATTTCTTGAAATAAGCCAGCCAATACTGTGCCTTTTTTATGAAATTAATTATAGGGCGGAGCCTAAAACAAAAAGGCAAAATATAAGCCCGCCCACCCGCCCTATCTCAATTGTGATGATTTTTTTATTCGCCGTGAACCAAAGGGGCGGAGTTTAACTGCAAAATACTTATTTCTTTGCAAGCAATTAAAAGCATGTTTTTGAGTCTCGTGTTGTTCAAAGAAGACCATGTATATTAAGAAAAAGGGACAAATTATAAACCCCGCCCACCCACCCTATCCTCATTGTGATGATTTTTTTATTCTTAGAAACTTGAAACACGTTTAAATGGTAAATGTTTGTAAGGAAATATAGATTAATCTTTGGCTTTAATCTTTCCTTAATATACATAGTATTCTTTGAATAATACGGCACTCAAAATCATGTCTTACATGATAATTTCTTGTAGAGAAATAATAAGGATTTTGCAATTAAATTCCGCTCCTTTGGTTCTCGACGATTAAAAAAAAAATCATCACAATTGAAATAGGGTGGGTGGGCGGGGCTTATATTTTGCCTTCTTTCTTAATATACGTATAGTCGCCTTTTCAGAACAAGAAACTTAAAACATGTTTAAAATGGTAATTTCTTGTAGACGAATATGGATCTTCCAATTAAGCCGCGCCCCTCGATCTGACAACGAATGAAAAATTCATCACAATTGAGAATTGAGATCTGGGCGGGTATGGGTGGGGCTTAATCTTTGGCTTTATTTTTTTCTTAATATACGTAGCAATCTTTGAGCAACACGATACACAAAAACATGTTTTTAATTTCTCGTAGAGAAATAAGGATTTTGCAGTTAAGCTCCGTCCACTTGGCTCACGACGAGTAAGGACAAATCATCAGAATGGAGATCGGGCGGGTGGGGGGTGGTAATATTTTACCCTTTTTTTAATATACATAACCCTTTTCACAACAAGAAATTTACAACATGGTTAATGGTACATTTTGCAAGGAAATATCGATTTTGCAATTAGGCTCCGCCCCATAATTGCAAAATCCATATTTCCTGGATTTTGCAATTATGGGGCGGAGCGTAATTGCAAAATCGATATTTCCTTGTACAAATTTTCCAGTTTAAACATGTTTTAAGTTTCATGTTGTGAAAAGAAGTCTACATATATTAAAACAAGAAGACAAAATGAAAGCCCGCCCACCCGCCCATATCTCAATTGTGATGATTTTTTTTATTCGCCGTAGACCAAAGGAGCGGAGCTTAACTGCAAAACACTTATTTCTTTGCAAGTAATTAAAAACATGCTTTGAGTATCGTGTTGTTCAAAGAAGACCATGTATATTAACAGAAAGAGGCAAAATATAAACCCCGCCCACCCACCCTATCTCCATTGTGATGATTTTTTTATTCTTTGAAACTTGAAACACGTTTAAAATGGTAAATTTTTGTGAGGAAATATGGATTTTGCGATTAGGCTCCGCGCCTCGATCTGACAACGAATGAAAGATTCATCACAATTGAAAACTGAGATCGGGGCGGGTATGGGTGGGGCTTAGTCTTTGTATGATACCAAAAAAATAAAGATTTCCAACCACTCAAATCGAGCGTGAGTCAACTTTCAGAGGTTGGTGTAAGTTGTCAAGAAATAAGGGTGTGGGGACAAAAAATCTGCACAAATTTTAATTCACCGAAAATCGAGTTAGCTTTGAGAAAAATGACGGTTGACGTTATAACATTTTTTTACAGTTGTTAAAAATTGTTATGCCTAGTTCCTCTTGAAAGTTTCAATATTTTTTGTAATAATGGAACACTTAAATGAAAATGATCGCCGATCTGTGATTGCCGAATTTTATAGAAGGCTTATGCATTTAAAAAAGTCATTCACCGTTAATCACTTCTTCCAAATGGGGATATCAAAAAGGACAACTTATAGCATTTGCAGAAGAGTAGAGAATGGGAATTCGGTAGAAAGACAAGTAGGAAGCGGAAGACCAGCAAGAAAAATGTCCCAGAAGAAGAGAGAAGCCTTAGTCAATCAAAGTCACGGTAAACTTGGTGTTTCACTAAGAAAGATTGGACCGAAATTTAAAATTGACAAAAAGTATGTTAGCAACATATTAAAGGAGAATAATGTCAAACTTGCAACGCGAAAATTCGCCCCTAAATATTCAGAAAAACAAAAGTTGGAACAAAAACGAAAATTAAGGCATCTTTCTGAATCCGCTTTTTCCCCCTCAAATGGAACTGAAATAATCATCGATGACGAATCCTACTTCACTTTTGATGGTAGCGATACTGCTAACAATAAACATTTCTATTGCAAGGAAGGAGAAGAAGTAGATGATAAAGTGAAATTCAAACGTTATAAAAAATTTCAGTCCAAGTTGTTGGTCTGGTTGGCCATTTCGTCACGTGGACATTCTACTGCGTTTATTTGCCCATCTGGAAATTCTGTTAATGCAGATATTTATGAAAAACAGTGCATTAGGTCTCGACTTGTCCGCTTTATAAGAGAAAAGCATTCGGATGGCAATTTTGTATTTTGGCCAGACATGGCAACAGCTCATTACGCAGCTAACGTTTTTGCTGCATATAATGAGTTAAGCATTCCTTTTATCCCTAAGGACAAAAATGTTCCCAACGTACTTCAACTACGCCCAATTGAACGTTTTTGGAGAAACCTAAAGAGAAATGGGTACGAAAATGGATGGGAAGCCTCGACAGATGCAGAATTAAAGAAGCGTATACTGCTGAAAATACGGCAAACAAAAATATCGGCTTTTACAAATTTAATGCGCCGTGTTAAAACAAAAATTCGTAAAGCAAGTAGATATGGTGCAGATTGTGTTCTTTAAAGTTGTTTTTATAAATGTTGTTGATCACGTTATTAATACCTGCTTTTATAATACAGTTATTCTAGTTTGAAATTTGTGCAGATTTTTTGTCCCCACACCCTTAATTAAAATTACTGGACACGGAAGCATGAATTCTCTGAAACCCTACTTAATTATTAAATTAAAATCACCATTGCAAAATAGTCAACAATTTAAGAAATAAGGGCCAATCAGAGACACCGGCACCAAAAAATAAATCTTCAACTGTAGAAACTTCAAGTCCGTCTTAACAAAAGCATCAACAACTGATACGAAAACCAGCGTTGTATATAGGTAATAATTCTGTTTTTAATATTGCTTTAGCAAACAGCGATGTGTAAAAAAATGGCGAGAAATCGTGGCGTCCCATTTTTACCTTAACATTTTCGATTTGTTGAACTGACATTTGTAACGTTTTAATAAAAATTTTTAAAAATATTTCCATCGCTTAGCCTAATCGGAAAACTTTTTGATTACCCAAGGAAGTAAGTTCTTGGTTAGGTACCGAAAATAATATCCAAGTTTTTGAAGATAAAGGTAACGAGTAGTGGTAGTTAATTTGAACGCTTGTAGAAATTCAGCATTATGTCAAAATCGTAACCGGAATTTATGGTTGTGAATAGATGAAGGAGGAAGCCCGTGTATTTAAATGTCATGCATTTTTTCGATGAAATGATGATTTTAAATAGCAGATGGTATAGTAAGCACTAATTAACATAGTTTAGAATCGTTGTGTCGTAACTGTTTCTAAATGTCGAAAAGATGAGTTAATGAAAGCTAAAAATAATCATTTTCGTAGGTCTATTTTTAATACAATTTTTTCGCAAACATACCGATTTATTTTTAAATACTTATATTGTCAAAATTTCACTGGCGGTTCTTAGTCGTCTCGGCTATAGAGGATTGTATATGGTCTTTCATATCCGCGAATATATACAGGGTGTTCCTTTTATACGTCCACACCTGACAATTCTTGCATAGGCAACATATTATACACTCCAGAGACGATTTCATCCAATTTAATTTTTTTTTTTAATAAGCAAACCTGTATATGTTCATATTTACTTTTTTTTCTGCATATAATTCCGAGCTTTACTGATTAGACTATAACATTGTAACATTATTAACATTAACATTATTATATATAAAATCAAGACATTTGCAGATTTTCAATTT